CTGCACCTTACACTTTATAATATTTAGAGACACTTTAAAATATTTATTCATGTGAAAAACTCAAAGCAATTTTCCGAGGAACTTCCACTTTTCATGACACCAATATGCACAATTCACTCTTACGTTCCACTAATAGATGTCTAAATTGAACTGGTATTTTCTGCCAGTGATTGCAGGCACTTCATAAGAGTCACTTTTTCTTTTACTAATCAAATGCATTTTTAATAACACTTATGATTTTCATTCTTTTTTCTTACCACTTCCTGTCAATGATTTTCTTTTTACTGGTCATGACTAGGCATACACTGGTTAAAGATCGGTATTTTTTATCCTTTCTCGCAAATATATTGTATGAACAGTATAGCATAATCAATTTTTTTAACAACTGAGGTTTGTAGAGCAAGCATTTCTCTAGAAAATGAGCTATGAGAACAGTCTTCATTTCTATCCAACACGTATAAAAAAAGTACTTGCTAAGAACCCCATTTATCGGTTTCGGTTATGTAACAGAAACCGTTAAATAGGGCTCTTCGGAGAAAGCCGATTGCAGCAATACGAGAAAAGTCGGAAAGAGCTCACTTTGTAGAGAAATGTTTGCTCTACGAATTTCAGTTATTAAAAATATTTAATATGCCATACTTTTCATACGATATATGTGCGAAAAAACATTAAAAAAATACCAATTTTTAACCGATGTATGCCTAGCCATGACACATTTTTCACTATTCTGATACCTCAGCCAAACGATTTTATTTATTTTAGTTCGTCTTTGGTATTGTTCACGAAATACTACATCCCTACAAATCAATAGAGAGTAAAAACTTTGCAACAGATTTTTCACGCAGTTAGCACTTTCTATCTTGCACATCCAATACGAGACTTATTAAGACATATGAAAACAGATTTCTATTGAATTGCCGTAGGATCGGTAGACTAGGGTAATAAACACCAAGCATTGAAACATCTGCCACCAGCATTTTAACAATTCTTTAGCTTTTTGTTTGTTTCGTTTCCTTGTTGTTCACTTGGATGGATTTTCTCCTTTAACTAACTGAAAACCTTACCTGTATCTACATAACGGTTTATCACTTTTAGTGCAGAATCTGCACTAGATTTTATTATTTATTCCGAAGAAGTTATATGATATCAGATTTTCTAGTTCCACATCCTATTCACCCCTCTTTCATTCGAGCGATCAAGAGAGGACTCAAAAACGGCAGAAATAAAAAACACGAAATACGGCTAGGCAACTGTTCCATACCGGTCTTCCGTGCATGCCCATGCACCACACGCGCATTATACGAACCAAAACACCCAAATCCAATCAAAACAACTTGTCCGACAAAAAGCACAACTACTCCAGTGTATAATGATACTTTGCACCCATTTACTACATGTCAGAGCACGCAAGATGACATTGCAGTCGAATGAAAATATTTCAACTCTACCGACGAATGAGTCGGAAAGAACCGACTCAATGATCAAGCAGATAATGAATACTTCAAATCATCATGACGCTATTGACACATTGGCCGCATGTGCAAAAACGCCGGAAGACATTTGGATTGAATAGAAACATTCCTAATGTGACGCCGAAGGAGTCGAAAAGAAGTGACTCAGTGATCATGCACATCATGAATCTTTGGAATCATCATCAGCAGCATAAGGAAGATGACGCTATTTATATATTGGATGCATGTTAACGCCCGGCAAATGACATTTGAGTTGAATGGAAACATTCCTGATGTGACGACGAAGCAGTTGAAAAGAAGCGACTCAACGATCGTGCAGATAACGAGTAGTTCAAACCATGATGCTATTTATAGAGTGGCCGCATATGTAAGGACGCCAGACGACATTTGAGTTGGATTGGAGCATTCCTGATGTGGCGATGGACGAGTCGAAAAGAAGCGACTCAATGATCATGCAGATAATGAATACTCGGAACGATAATAATGACGTTATTGATATATTGGATGCACGTGAAAGGACGCCAATTGCCATTTGAGTGACGCTAATTCCAACGATGAACGAAAGATGACGCTATTTATATATTGGATGCATGTGAAAGGCCGGCAAATGATTTGAGTTGAATGGAAACATTCCTGATGTGACGACGAAGGAGTCGAAAAGAAGCGACTCAACGATCGTGCAGATAACGAATAGTTCAAACCATGATGCTATTTATAGAGTGGCCGCATATGTAAGGACGCCAGATGATATTTGAGTTGGATTGGAGCATTGCTGATGTGGCGATGGACGAGTCAAAAAGAAGCGACTCAATGATCATGCAGATAATGAATACTTGAAACGATGATGCTATTTATACATTGGCTGCATTTCAAAGGACGGCAGATGACATTTGAGTTGATTAGAAACATTCCTGACCTGTCGACGAAGGAGTCGAAAAGAAGCCACTCATTGATCATGCAGAAAATGAGTACTTGGAACTATGATGTTATTGATACTTTGGCTGCGTGTGAAAGGACGCCAGATGACATTTGAGTTGAATAGAAACATTCCTGATGCGATGACGAAGGAGTCGAACAGAAGCGACTCAATGATAATGTAGGTAACGAATGAGTGGAAAGATCAGTACGCTGTTGATATATTGGCTACATGTTAAAGGTGGCCAGGTGACATTTGGGTTGAATAGAAGCATTCCTGATGTGACGAGGTACGTGGCGAAAAGAAGCGACTGAATGATCATGCAGATAATGAATGCTTAGAAGCATGATACTGTTGATCTATTGGCGGCATGTGAACTGATGCCAAATGACATTTGAGTTGAAAGGAAGCATTGCTGGTGGGACGACGAAGGAGCCCAAAAGAAGCGACTCAATGATCATAAAGATAATGAATACTTGGAACCATGACGCTATTGATATATTGGATGCATGTGGATGGACGCCAAATGACATTTGAGTTGAATAAAAACATTCCTCATGGGACGACAAACCATTCGAACTGTGGCGAGGAATGTGGCGAAAAGAAGCGACTCAACGATCACGCGGATAATGAATACTTGGAATAACTATGATGCTGTTGATACATGGGCTGCATGTTAAAGTACGCGAGATTACATTTGAGTTGCATAGAAACGTTCCTGATGTGATGATGAAGGGGTCGAAACGAAGCGGCTCAATGATCATGTAAATAATGAATGCTTGGAAGCATGATGCTATTGATTGGTTGGCTGGATGTGATAGGACGCGAGATGACATTTGAGTTGAATAGAAGCATTCCTGATGTGACGAGGAAGGGGTCGAAAAGAAGCTATTGGATGATCATGCAGATAATGAATAGTTGCAATGACCATAATGACGCCATTGATGGATTGGATGCATGTTAACGGCCGGCAAATGACATTTGAGTTGAATGGAAACATTCCTGATGTGACGAGGAAGGAGTGGAAAAAAAGCGACTCAATAATCATGCAGATAATGAATACTTGGAAAGATGACGCTATTGATATATTGGGTGCTTGGGAAAGCACGCCAAATGACATTTGAGTTGAGTAGAAGCATTCGTGATGTGAGGCTGAAGGAGTCGAAAAGAAGCTACTCAATGATCATGCAGATAATGAATGCTTGGAATCACCATCATTACGCTGTTGATATATTGGCTGTGGGTTAGAGTGAGCCAGATGACATTTGGGTTGAATGGAAATATTGCTGATGTCAAGGCGAAGAGCGCGATGGGAGTGTGGTGATGATCGTGCGGTAGCTGAGTAATATGTAGTCGTTTGTAAGTGGATTGTGTTTCGTTGGAGTCGGCTGTCATATGTAAGATTGGCAATTCGAAATATTATGCCGGGTGGAAGTAGGACTTCTTGTTCGTGTGGGAAGGCGGAGGCGGTTGATATTTCTATTCCTGGGATCTTTTGAGTGTCAATAATGAATAAGGTTTCGCCAAAGGCTTCAGCTTGTTGACGGCTTTTACTGGTTGAAGTAAATGCATCCCAGCACCTGGTTTGTCCGATCGATTCCTGATAAGAGTTTATGATTTTCGGATTGATGTTTGCGGCTCGGTACACTGTGCCTCGATTAGCGTTGCGCAGCCAAGACTTGAGTAAAAGGTAGCAGAATGGGGCTAGAGTGCCTGCTTTAGTGGTGTCATTTTTTCTCATTGTTTGGTTTAGTAATTGGTATAAAAAACATTCTTTTGTGTATAGCATGATGCAACACTTGTAAATGTCTTTGGGCTCCTTGTTTTGCACGGTTTTCAGTTGTCGGGCAATCCATTGTGATGCGCAACTTTGGCCTAGTTGATTCCCTTCTATAATTATTCCGTTCGCTGCTTGGTTCACTATTTCGGCTCTAGAAAGCTGTTTAGCTTCCGCTCTCCACTGTTTAATAAAATTTAAGGCCGTTGTACCAAAGTCGTCGTTGAATGGCTTATCCTCTAGTTCGGGAAGAAAAAATCTTTGTTCTCTTAAGCCTTTGTTTCCATTTATATCAATCAAAACTCGCTTTATTGGTCTGTATTTATTTTTGTCATGTTTACTGATCTGAATAGAGTCATTTAGATTGATCCAATAATTGTCCAACTCAGCCAGTTTTGTTTTACTTTTTTCATTAAAGATTTCTTCGATAATTTCTGATTCGATATCAGAATACTTTGTCCATTCTTCCATTTCATTCACCGACCATGGGTCGAAATTCGATTTCCAATACCATTGAGCTTGTAGTTGATCGACTTGTTTTTTCGGTTGGCTTGCCATTGATTAGAGCGTTTCCAACTGATTGTTATTATATATGTTTATGGAACTAAATAAGAGATTCGAAAAGTAGCGAGAATCTTGTGTAATTGAAGAAGGTATTCTAGGTATAAACGTATCTAAGTGATTACAGTTAAGTTCTATTTTCAGTCCGAACTCCGTCTAGGTTTCTTAGTATCAAAAGAAAATTTGATATTTTATTAGTTGATTTTGGCAGATGCTCTGCCATTAGAGATTGACTTTTCTCACTCTGACTCAATCTCGTCTTTATTATTTAAGATTACGTCTGTTTTGTATTTCGTCTTGTTTCTAATAATTTCAGTGAACTTTTAAGATGTTTTTTAACTTTAAATTTTCCATCTCTCTCACCACCTTCTAAATTAATAATACAATATGCTTTATAATAATGTGCAATTTCAGCATTATCTGGAAATTCATCAATAATTTTATTATAACATCTTTGTGCTTCTAAATATTTTTTATTATCTAAATATAATTTAACTAACTTGATTAATTCACCTGGTTCAGTGATTAAACCAAATATATTATGACTATCTAACATTTGTATAATCTCATTTTTAAATTGATTAAATTCAATAAAAATATTCTCTTTTCCAATTAAATATACTTGTTCAAGTTTTTCTTCCATATTATATACCTGAAAGAAAGCTGTTTTTGTTATACTTACGGGGAAAGGTCCTCAAAAGTGCAATCGTTTTGCTTGAACTCTAATGGACAATAGATAATCGACCGCGCTAAATCCGAATCTGACATCGGTTTGTACTGCTAGGCCTTCAGAGACCCAGTTTCTGGAAAACCAGGTTTTTAGAAACTCTAAAATATAACTAAAACCTTTCTTAATGAGGCATGATTGTAGACCGCAAATTTCTGATTAAAATGAAATATCTCTCAGCTCTACACAATCTTTCTTTGCAAAGTTAGAGAATTTACAAGAAAAGCCCTAAATTAATTTCTTCTTATTTTTGTAGTTTTGAGCTGACAATGAACATTTAGGGGTTTTCTTGTAAATTCTAAAACGTTCCAAAGAAAGGTCATGTAGAGCTGGGCGACATCGCATTTTAATCAGAAATTTGCGGACTACAATTATGGCTCATTAAGAAAGGTTTTGGTTACTTTTAGAGTTTCTGAAAACCTGGTTTTTGCAGAAACCCGGTCTTTGGAGTCCTCAAAAGGATGTCAAATTCGGATTTAGCGCGGTCGATTACCTATTGTCCACTAGAGTACAAGCAAAAAGCGATTGCACACTTAGGAACCTTTTTCTTCGTTAGATATTTTGTTATTTGATATAAGCTTTATTCTGTCAGAATAAAAGCGGAAAATATTCCATTATAGTATTCTAAACTAAAACTATCGAAAAACACAAAATCAATTTTGTACGAATAAAGATTCGAACATGTGAACTTAGCTTTGTAGTAAACTACAAAACTAAATTCACCGTTCTGTATCTATATTCTGTACAACCATTGAAGTCGTGTAATCGACTCGATGTTATCAGTACTAATTTTTTTGGTATGTTTTTTGTGTTTTGTTTGATATAAGCATTATTCTGTCAGAATACAAGCAATTTGTTATTTCATCAAATGTGCGCCCTTTCTCTCTTCTCCATGCGCTTCAGAGGAAGAGAGAATTTGCTTTCAATAGAAAATATCTATTATTGTGCGAAACTTAGAATTAAAAAAGTGAAAAGTAGGAGTGATCTTTTACTTTGACTTTTACAAGATGATCTCAAGGACAATCTT